ATTCATGATTTCGCCAGAAATTTTGGGGGTCTGTACGTGTAATACTTGTAGAAAGGGGTTTACGGACTCCTAGAGTCCGCACTCACTCGACGTAGATAGTATTTGAGAATATTACCCGGAGGGGCTTGGCGGTTACACGCGAAACACCATATTGAAATTGGAATTCCTGTGCTTACCCCATCTGGCTGAAAGTTTGCACAGGGGAAAGTGGTACAGCGTTAAAAAGAATGGCATTACGACTATATATGCGCCCATTCGATGGCTGGGAAAAGCGTTTCGAAAGTTTTCTTTCTCTCTTCTCCCCATTCTTGGCTTTCATAGCACAACATAAATTGTTATTTCAATGACAATAGGAATTTACATATCACGTATTCGTTGCAACTGATATATGATGTATTGTATTTCCGGAGTTGATGTATTTATCCGGTGAATTGATATATTTATACATAAATATTGGAATCTCGATTGGAATGCTGGGGGAATTCGGGGGAGATGGAAATGGGGGGCTGTGAAGCATTGGTGTTATCTCATGATTTTATGGGCAAAATGGTGACAATGAACTTTCAAGGATCACTGGGAATTGGAATACAATATAAGAAAGAATGATGTTTTCTATATGAATAAACTGTCACGTACGTACAGGGGCAATTTCGTGTATTCCTTGAGAGATTTTGCGAAATTTAAGCAATCGTTATTACTGTTTTTGTTATTGTTAATTTGTTATCGTTGGTTCAAATCGTTGATAGTTTTTCTAGAAATTTGTCACAAAAATAGTGGTTTTCAGAATTTTTACCAGTTTAATTTAGAATTCACGGTTTATTAAATATTAGACGCTGACTGTGGGACACTAGGTCTTCAAGGCATCTTAATTTAAGACATTAGACGCTGAAATAGGTCTTATCGATTAACTTTGCGATGACTGAAATTTCAGATGTCATAATGTAAGTAAAGTCAAATTTTGAACAGTCGAAACAGCATTATTTCAACATCAGAATGGTGCAAATATCTGACATTATTCTAAGGACAAATACTTCTCATCGGTAATTTCTTCTTCGTATACACGTATGAAAACATTCAATAGAAAACCTTAGCGAATTTGCTAGAAAATTCTATTGGAATTTTCCCGAAATTCTATGGGAATTCTATTGAAATTCTCGGGAATTCTCGGTAAAATTCTATTTTTTTTTACACTGATTCTATTGGATATTTGATAGGAAAAAGTCAATAGATTTCGATTTTTCCGCTATATTTTGCTGTGCATTAGAGGATTCAAGTGAGAAAAAACTAGGAAAATTCATGCCCAAGTATTCTTATAGAAAAAAAACCAAGAGAATATGCATATAGAAAAATCGAAATCTATCGACTTTTTCCTACGAAATATTTCACAGAATCAGCGTTAAAAACAAATAGAATTTTAACAAGAGTTCTCTAAAATTTTAATAAAATCCCAATAGAATATAGAGAATTCCAATAGAATTTTCTAGCGAATCCGCTAAGTCTTTCTATTGATTGTTTTCATACCGTGTACCCTTTCGGATTTTTACGATTTGTTCCCTTCCCACCTCATACCTCCCTGTACCGAATATTTAAAAAAATTATAATTCTTCGCAAAATGTAATTTGAAAGCGGCTGAATATCCATGATTTTTTTCGAATTTTTCTCACGCAATTTATTTGGTAAATTTGATGATTGCCAAATGGTTGAACCTATAGTGCGATCTGTGCCAAACTGTAAAAGATGTTTGAATATCCTTAATTTTGAACACTACTTTTTCTAGTTCGTTCCCCTGAAACTTGAAACAGTTTTTTTCTCCGTGCAAATGTCCATATCACCCAGTTGCCTATCCCACCCCGCCTTGCCCTGTACGTTCCACTCAACTTGGTGGAATACTCTTTATCTCCAATGTTTTTCAACTCACCTGGGTTTTTTCAGACCCCAAAAGAGCGAGCAGGATTACATGAAATTAACTTTCTGGAGGAAAAAAACCACGCTTTCTCTGTCGAGAGCCTGCGATATTCAAATTTTAATCTCCATATATGATTTCCGACTTTACATTGGCCTCGGCCGTATCAAATGCAAACTTTCAAATGCGGTATTTCCGTTTTTTTTCATCATCGTTTGTGTTTCCCATGAAAAGCGTTCGATTACCGAGGATCGTTTTGAACCGAATACAAAGGCATACATATGGAGGTGGTAAACCCCAGCATTTAACCAACTATATTCATTAATTCGTTTTTACGCAATCGTACGACAGAATATGATGGAAAAATCGCGCAGAATAGGTCGTAAAACGAGTGAGTGAATGGAGATTAGGTTGATAGGAGACATGGCTCAGCCCGAGCGTTAACGCATGCTGCACGTGGAATTCACGATGGCATTTTATGCTGATTTATATGCATCTCGGTTTCTCTGTCGGGGGAGCGGTCCATCTATCCAGCGATCACTGCTTGCGAACCTCAACATTGCCCTGGCATCTACAGTCATTCTAATGGAGCTTGCAAGTGGGAAAAACTTGGGCTATCGACGTTCATGCTGATCTAATGTTTTTAGAATTGTTAACGGAAGTTAATGGGGCAATCAAATTAATTAATCAGAAATTGGCCTAATTTAATTGATTAATCAGAAATTGTTATTTCGAAATAACTCTTATTTTATATTTTGTATTGAATTTAAATTAAAAAATATTGAGAAATTTTGTGTTAACATTCGGATTAAAACTCATTGATCATAACACATTGTTTTTCCTCCCTAAAATGAAGTGAATATCGCTCTCCTAAAAATGACTGCTATACTGTCCATAAAATCTCAGTTTTTTTAGCAGTTGTATTGAATTACAGAGTGTTAACAATAACAAATATTAACATTTAAAATTATCAAAGTACTTGGAAACAAAAATTTCAATATAAACATTCCATTTTATCGAGCTATCACTCTGAATATTTATCCAACTCTCAAAGAAGAGTTCCCACAGTGTCTTTAATATTTTTCCATTCGCAATACAAGTTGCTAAATCGTCGATTAGCCCTGAATCTTGGAAAATCCCAACCAAACGTCTTCCCCAGATTCTCCCCAAAGAGTTTTCCGATAATCACTCAACGCCCATCTGGATTCAAATGACCATCGCCAGCAGAACTTTGCAACATTGAATTTCCATAAAATCTCACTTAATACCAGTCCGCAAACATGAAAATCACTCTGCTTTGAATGTTCCAACATGATTGAATTCCCCGAGGGTAAATACGTCACCAGTATCTCGGGAAACATCGTTTGGCTGTCAAGAGCTGCAGAATATTTCTCTAGTGGTAGTCATCCTCAGCAACTCCAGAAAGTTGTCATGGATCAAGCTGATACGTGAAAAATAAAAGTTTTTTCACCCTTTCCAGCCACCAGCGAACCCGGTCTAAGTTTTGCAAGCGAAAGTTACGTTGAAAAAAGCGAGAGAACAAAAGTGGAAAAAACACCCTCCAGCATTACTGTCTGTCCTTATTCTCGCGGTAACTTCGGAAATGCTGTACTTCAGTTCTGAGTCAACTTAGTTTTCTCTCAGTCCTCAAAGGCGACAATGGGGCGACGATGACGTATCCGCTCATAACTTATCTCTATTCCCCCACTACCACTTTCTTTTGCATTTCGACAGTGCTTGTTGAGGCAAACTCCAGAGATCGCAGACCGCAAAACAAAATTGAAATTACCTCGACAACGAGTACGACTGCTCTGCGTAGTTTTACATTCTAATACTTGTGTACAGATGATGGCACCGCAAGCCGCGGAAAAGTTGAATAAGCGAAATTGACTCGGTGGAAAAAAAAATCTGATTTTTTTCGGTTAAGGGACAAAATATTGTGGACAAAAATACTACACTGTTGGAAATTTTTCGAAATTCCATGGAAAATATGGTAATAATACTCGGACGGAGAGAAATTAAAAAAAAAATTCTAGGGCCAGCGCGGGGAAAGAGGCGGAAGGTGACGGCCAGGAAAAAATTCCAGTGCCGGCACTTGAAATTTTATTGGGGAAAACGTGAATTTTTCCCCGTATTTCTGTGAAAATTTCACAGAGATCCCCAGAAATTTTACCAGAAATACCAAGAAAGTTTACCTTAACAGCACTAGAATTTTTCACAGCCGGTGGATTGTGATTTTTCCAGTACTCGTACTAGAATGTTTCTAGAAAATTTCTCTCCGTGCACGAGAGTGACACTGAGCCCGGTTTAGGGGAACAATGGTTATGAAATTTCAAGGAAATTCATGAGTTTTTAGTGTGAGGGAGACGGAAATTTTACAACTTGATTGAATTTTCAAAGGAACATCAATATTCAGTAAGAAAATGACATAACTTTCCAATTTTTCCCTGAATTTTTCTGATTTTTCAGAATCTTTACGAAATAATTGAACAGCAAAATCAAGTATTTCATCGATTTTCAGATCTTCCAAACAGAAAATCAATGGAATATTCGATTGTTCAATGACAAGATTTCCTGAAATTTCCGTGGAAATTGAACATGATGAAAATTTCCGGGATTTGACTCGAAAATGTAGCCGAAAATTTTTAACAGTGTATTATGGAACAAAATATTATCAAACCCTCATATTACCATATTCAGAGACGTGATATCGAAATCAAAACATGATCTGCACGATGAAAGAAAAATTCAATGACGAAATTCCTTGAAATTTCCGTGGAACTATAATATGATAGAAATTTTTAAGAAGGGTACCGGAAATTTCGGCGTATAATTTTCAACAGTGCATACGAATTTGTAAATTTCGAGCAAAATATTGTTGAATTGAATCGAAAAGTTCCAACTAAATAGTCTTCTTTGATTCAAATACTCCATTTCTCACGGTTGTTTCGTAAACCTAGTCCGTACTTATTATGAATGCATTCAACTATTGATAAAATAAACTTACCTGGAGCGCTCTGGCCAGTTTTACATACTAATCACAACAAACAGAAGAAAATTTAAACAAGCCAAATTCCATCAATAAAAAAACTCGTCATTTTCGCATTAAAACGATTTATTTTCTCATGCTCATAAGTTGGTACATGGCGGATTACAATGCTTCCAATATTTGCTCGTCTCTCTCATCAACATTGAACAAAAAAAACAAAAAAAGTAATACTCGTTCATGTATATAGTAACATCTAGTATCACTGAACTGCTAAGTTAGACCACGCGTCAATGTCTGCATATTTTATTTACATCTTTTAAGTAACAGTTATATACCTACCCGTTCAATGATCGATTGCCTAGCGATCATTTCTCAGGCTTGCTCTTTAAGACTGGTCAGTATCGTTTAATATACGTATATCTACACAGATGTATTGTCATCGGCCGAAAACAAACTGCCAAAAGACAGTTTCTACTCTTATTCTATGACAATTCCCAAAATGAGAAGCGTTTTCTAAAAAATTTTATTGGAAATTTGTAGATTGTTTCATAGAAATCAGTGAACTCTTCAAGGATTCCCAGCAGAATCCCAATAAAATTTCTCAACGAATGCATGAAGTCATTCTCTCTGTGTCAACGGATTATAACAGGCTTCTTCCTAGTTTAAAAAGTAGACAGGCCATCAACGATTCTTATTAAGTTCGCTGCCACCATTTTGTCTGCATGTTCATGCATCGTTTGAACTTCATACTTTCACGGTACAAGATATCAAAACTCGCTTGACACAATATAGGCACAGAAGTACTTTCTACCACATATTCAATAAAAAAATTCAACTATGAGTATATCTCCTTTGAATTCCCACAGATACGGAGGATAAAAAGATTGTCGCAATTTAAAGAATTCTAAAAAAATATAACTAGCAAAGACACTTCTCCAGTTTTTTTTTCTTGCGGTGGCTCCACATGCCTCGTTTAACGAGAGCTAACAAGAAAGATTTCGCCTCGCTGGGCGTTTTTTCCATTCCCCCCGCGGTCCTTTTTTACGTCAGCGAATAAGTAGATTACCCTACCGTGATGAGCGGCCGAGTATCTAATTATCGTTGTGCATGCAATAAGTGAAGAAAAAAAAATACGTTAAAGATTATTCCATCGATAATGACGGCAACATGTGCAATTTTTTCTCAGGAAGTTAGTCTAGTTTGCACTGAGCATTACTAAGACGAAAATACGTTACGAAATTGACGATAATTCAGGGACAAAAATAAGAATTATTGAAACAATATGGAATAGAATGATTACAACTCTACGAAAATAATGACACTTCATTAGTAGAAAATTTGAGACTAACTGTGTTATTTGTGTATACAATAATAAAACATCGAAATTTACTTCGACAGTCTGCGACTTCAGACCAACCCTATTTTCCCTCTCTGGAGACATCTATTCAATCTTAAAAATAAACAAATTATAACTAACCGCATGGTACGCCATTAGATAATGGAGGACAGCACATGAAGGAAAAACACTGAATAATTTACTTACAAAAAAATTCTATACGAAAATAAATTCTCTCAAGATCAATCTTTGTGCGCTTGATATTTCCAACGACAGAAAGTATCCGCACAACCTACCACTCCACCTAAATAAAAATACCTAGTTATGATAATAATTGAGTAACCCAAGTCTACATTGGGTCAGACAAACTATCAATCCACCCGAAAATTCATATTTCCCCTACTTTTACATTAAAAAAGATCATAAAATCCTGGCGAGTGTGCCAAGGCCCTGTTGATTGAGGATAAAGTTGAAAGAGATGAGAAAAAATTATTATGATTACACCTTCAGCTTCTCAAATTCCCGGGCGTCGGTGGGATTTTCGGCCATGAAACTACACGTATAACTTAAATGCGTGATCTCGAGAACCTTCAGAAGAATATTCTACCTCCATTTCCATAGCATTGTCCCTCCCACTATTTGATAATACGAAAAAATAAAAATGTTAAAACGAGAAGAACAAAAATAAAAATTCCGGGACTCCGATAATTTTGTCATTTATTCCATGGCTGCTTCCTGGAGAGCGTGAAGGTGAGCGTAGAGACCATCAGCTGCAATGAGGTCATCGTGTGTACCCATCTCAGCTACTGTACCCTTTTCAAAAACGCAAATCACGTCTGCGTTTCTTATGGTGGCAAGACGATGAGCTATAGTGATGCAAGTTCTACCCTCCATGGCCTTATCTAGCGCCGCTTGCACGACCTGTTTACAACAACAGAATAATTCACAATGAAAGGGGGGGAAAAAGCCCTTTTAAACTTCACATAATCCCCCAACTTGGTGTCCCAAATTGTTCTTTCACTTATAAATGATGATGGGCGTCATAATTTTCTGGAAAAAAACACATCAGTTTCGACACGCCGGAGGTTCTCCGTCAAAACTCGCGAGGGGAGTGACTGTGGATTTCCCCGAGGGTCTCCCACAAAAGGAAAAAAAATCCTTACGCATCATCTTTGTTAGACAGTAGACAATTGAGCTTTGAGGTCGAAAAAAAATCTAAACTCAGCGAGGGAAAAAATCCTCCGCGTATTCCCGAGGTTTTATCCTCCTGACATTTACTCTTTTATAAAATTTATCCCACCACCAAGTTTTGAACGCTCCGCTATTATAAACGCCGTTAATTGGTAGCTCCGTCCCATTGTACAGTGGGCGAGGGTTCACATTGAAAAATAGTCTTTTGTCTTGTGTCTCCGTAGGGTTTTACCCCATTCGCACAACGCGTATGGATGGAAAAAAAAATTGTGTGGGTGGCCTTTTATGTCAGTCACTCATCCTCCAACGTCATACGGATCTCGTGGTGTTTGGTTTTCCTTCTTTCTTGACTGTGATTTTTGAAATATAATATGAGAAATACTCACCTTTTCACTCTGAGTATCGAGAGCTGATGTTGCCTCATCGAGGAGAAGTATACGTGGATTTCTGACGAGAGCACGTGCTATTGCTATACGCTGCTTCTGACCACCTGACAATTGAGTGCCCTTACTGCCAAGTCTCGTATCATAACCCTGAGAGCATAGAAAAGAAAATACGGCTGATGATTGATCTGCACGAAATTCCGGTGCACGTAGTGAGAAAAAAAACATTTCTTTGCGGCAGACAAATGTACATTCTTAGGAAAAAATTGAAATTTCATGGACAGTTTAGCAATAGTTAACGAATGGAGTTAATAGTTGAAAAGTCTCGTTAACAAAAACTAAATTTTTCTATCGGTGTAGAGAGGAAAAAAATCATGAAATCTTGAGTTTCAACGAAAGTTCAATGGAATCCAGAATTTTGCATGAAAATTGATTGGTTTTAATGAAATAATTGAATTAAAATGTACAGTTTCCATTGATTTTTTATAATCGTGAAACTTCAATGATGAAATTCTCAGAAATTTCATTGGAATTGTCACTCCACCAAAAAGATTTTTTTTTTGATTTGTCATCTTTAAATTTTAAAGATCTCTATCCCCTGAGTTTAAGGTATTCTTGACATTAACTAAAACTATGCTAAACTAGATATTCAATCATTGAAATTTAGAGCCAAAATTTCTGAGATTTAGCCGTCTGTGACTGGAAATAAATCACTTGTTTATGGATTTTCCACACGGTAAATTCTAAAATTCCGCAGATTTCTAAAAACTAAAACTTTTTTTCTGTGTCGATTAAATTTTCCAACAAGTGTCTCCGAAATTCCGATAAAATGCAACAGAAAAGAAATTACAAGGCTTTTCAGAAACCGCATTTTGTCAGACGTTAAACATTTTTGCAAATTTGGAATGCTTTTCGTTGAATTAAATGAAAAGAATTTCAATCCCAAGAGTATGAATCTGTTTAGGGGAGGCTATCACTGAGAAGTAGCACTCCGATGTTGGGTATTTTATCGTAGGTAACTGTAGCAATGAGAACGGAGTGCTAAACCCCCACAATAAATTATTGTCTCAAACGTATTCCAATAAACTTTTCAGCTACTGCAGATATTTGTGGTTAACTTTATAAATCCCGGTAAAATTGATCAAAATTGCAGCGAATGAATCCACTTGAACTATTCGATCAACTAATTGGAAATTCAATGTAACATTCACGAAGTTCTCTATATCCCAGTGTGAAATTTCAATCAACCTTTAGTATGCTGTTTTCAATCTCATTTTATACCAGTTGAATCGGTCTAGCGTATATCCGATTGACAAAAAGACCAATTCAATGTTCCAAATTGAACTAAAATGACCCGGTGGCGGTGATGGATCTTCAATAGTGGAGGAGGGGAGAGGTTAAAGTTACACATTGAGCAGAAAATTACTCGGTAACGGACATGAAACTTCTACGTCTTTCTCAGGACATTCGTAATATCCAGAGAATCGATACGCCCCCGGATATTTTCGCTCGAACCTCAATATAAATTAGCAGGATCATCCGACAAAGTTCAAAATTTCTGTAATTAAAACATACGAGACAGTAAAGTCATGACCTTCCCTACATTCTGCTATCCTGAGGGGATGCTGCTTCTGACGAACATACAGTTGATGATTGATATGCACGAATATGCAATGCACATACTGAGAACAAAGTTGCTTTTCGCCAAAAACCCGCTAGTATTCGTTAAGAAAGTAACGAAAAGTAACAAAAATGGTAGTCAATTCACGCCTTTCGCTTCATCCTCCTCTTCTTAGAGGATGTGATAAATGGAATTTGTTTCTGTACGGATCACCTTTAAAACGGGATTAATTTAATCTCTAAACGAAGAAGACTATAACTCTCAAGAAAATGTGAAATTTCTTAATCTGCGGTTCATCTACCTTTACAGTTATTCATATAAACTGTTGAAGTTGTACTCACCAAAGGTAGAGAGCTGACAAAACTATGTATATTAGATTTCTTAGCGGCTTCGATGATCTCCTCCATCCCAACAATACGATTATTGTCACCATAAGCAATATTTTCAGCGATAGTACGATCAAACAATACAGGCTCTTGTCCTACAACACCGAGTTGTGCTCTCAATGCAGAAAGCGATACCGATGAAATGTCACGTCTATCCATAGTAACAGTACCCGACACTGGATCATAAAGTCGTTGAAGTAGCTGGATACACGTTGATTTACCACATCCACTCTGGCCAACCAATGCAACCATTTGGCCAGGTTTAACAATCAAATTGAGACCACGAAGAATCTGACTCTCAACGCGCGTTGGATAATGAAATTCAACTTTGGAAAACTGTATGAGTCCATCAGCCTTCCAATCCTTATCCCTATTATCCAATTCCGGTGGTGTCATGATTTCTGGCACTCGATCCAACAGACGAAATATCCTGCCAGCAGATATCTTAGCTGTATTGAAATTGGGCGCAAAGGCAAGTGCCTGACCAAGCATCCACGAGCCGAAGATTAGTGCTTCAGATACCGTGATCACGTCTTTATACGGTAAGCCCTCTCTAGCCACAAGATAGCCACCGTAATAGAGACTAAGAGCATACCCAAAATACGGTATAGTCTGACCGCAGGAGAAGACCAAACCCCGTAGACGGTTTCGTGTTCTGGTAGCCGCAGCAACCTTTGCCATCTCCACGCAATAACGATCTAGAAAGGCCCCCTCTTTACCCAAACTGGCAACAGTACGTATATTTGATATTGCCTCAATGGCTATCCTAGTGGCGCATTCCATTTTTTTCTTCTCCTCCATCCCCTGACCCCCCATTATTCTCGCTTCCATAAATACAGCACCCAGCACTAGGGGTATCGTGACAATGGATACAAGTGTCATCTTCCAGGTGAAGTACAGTGACAGACCAACGCCTAGAACTAGTGTCGACATTGCTTGAAGAATCGATCCAATTCTGCTGCCAGTTGCACCTTGAACAGCGGAAGCATCTGACGATAATCTAGCACACAGTGCACCCACACTATTTGTATCCTCATCGAACCAGCCCATCTCTTGTTTCAACATTGCCGCAAACGTTATACTCCTCAATCTCGTGGTCATCCTCACACCCGCAAGACCGAACATGTACATTTGGAGGAAAGTACCAACTCCCGTTATGATGCCAACCACAATGAAGAGAATTGAGAAGTTTACGGTTTCAGCGCGTATCTCATCGTCGTCCGGTAGACCTAATACCTCGTAGACTTTGCCGAATAATACCGCAAAGGCTGGGAACGAGGCGCCCACCACAGCAGCTGCTAGACAACCTGATGGAAATCGATTGAGATTACACATTGTCATTCTTTTGTTACTCGATTTCAATGGAGAGACTTTACTCACCGATCACATTGTATGGCCACTCGGGCTTGTTCAGGCCAAATATTCTCATAGTAGGTGCATCATACGGCTTTTCATGCTCCTCAAGTTCCTCTTCAGATGTTGTCGATCCACCGGCCAAGGAGAGACGATGTGAGTGCATCGAGAGGGTGGAAAACTGCTTCTTCAAGGGGGGCTTCGGCTTCGGTTTTGTCGCTGTCACGGTTTTTGCCGCGGACGCAGTGGCTTTCGCTGTCGGAAAAAGTATGGGGGGACTATTAGTTGAGAGGATACTTGAATAACGCGTCGATGTGAAAAGGAATAGGGTCAGAATGCCGGATTTGATCTGTTAGCTTTAGCCCAGAATGGTACGTTTAAGATACAATTCGTCTGAAGAACAGAAAGTTCGCAGCGCTAAACATTTCGTTGGTTCAATACTTATTACAATTTCGAATAATAAATATCTAAACAGTAAACAAGCAAAACTTTTGGCTGAAATTTCCCGCAAACTCTTTGGAAATTTTTATCACATTATAGTTTCATTAGAAATTTAAAGAAATTTGTCATTGATAATTCCACATTTTACGTAAAAATCAGGAAAATCAGCCTCAGGAAAATTCAGGTATCTATATTATTGATAGTGAATATAATTATAAACAGAAACCTAATGAGAAAGATTTACTTGCTTTTTGAAAGATAGAATTATAAATGTAGGAATTGACATGAAATAAAATGAATCTCAATGAAGGATCAAGTTAAAAAAAACTCCTGCACTGTGAAATGAGTTGAGGTATTCGTTCCATAAAATTGCAGGAACGAATAAAATTCAAAGGGAATCAGTGGACAACTCTAAATTAGATCGAAATCGATTCTACGACCAACACTTGGACAAAAACTATGAGACCCTCTGAAATTACCTCTGGCAGTAGCACTGGCATCAGCTGATACCAAAGCATGATAATGATTTCCCAGTGCGAGGAGTTCCTCGTGAGTTCCCATTTCGGCGACTTGTCCATCCTTTATGAAGACAATCCTGTCGGCATTGGTGATTGTTGAGAGACGATGGGTTACAATGACCGTTGTTCTGCCTTTGGACGCGGCGTCGAGGGCGCGTTGGACAGTTGCCTCGCTGTGGAGATCTAAAGCAGATGTTGCCTCGTCAAGCAAGAGAATCGCTGGTCGTCTGACTAAGGCACGTGCTATAGCTATCCTCTGCTTCTGTCCGCCTGATAGTTGAGAGCCTCGTTCACCCACTGGACTGTCATAACCCTGCGGTCAAAAAGGATCATTACGTTTGAATGATGAATTGTATTTTCATTCATAATTCATAGGTGTTATTTCTGCACGAGATGAGCGAAACAAATTCTGGAACGTGCGCTGAGTTTATTGAATTACCCGATCACACAGAACAATAATACACGATGATAATTATGCGTGAAATGCCGTTTGAGGTGGAAATTAAATTTTTACCACATTGAATTGCTCATGAAATGCGAAATACCAGTCTCACCTCGGGCAGTTTACTGATGAAGTCATGTGCATTCGCTTCCTTTGCTGCTTTGATCATCTCCTCTTCTGTAACGTTGTCGTTACCGTACCGTATATTTTCACGGATTGTTGTGTCAAATAGAACTGGCTCCTGACCCACGAGGCCAATGTGTGATCTCATCCATGCGACATTCAATTTAGGTATCTCAATGCCGTCCAAAAGTACCTGCAATTGATCATCGGTACTTGTTACCCCAGAAATGCAATTCTCAACCGTATCCTATTCTCTGTACGCTGAGAGAAAAAATAACATGTTCTCAAACAAGTCTTGTTCGAACCAAAACAAAAATAGCAAGCTGAAAATTACCAAGATGGGAATTCTTTTATTTGAACACACGAAAGTTTCAAACATGAATAATCGATCTGCATTCAGCCATGAAATGTTCTCCGGAGACGGATCATTCACACAAATTGATGCCTTTTTAGAATGGAAATGTCTTCAATAGACAGCCGACTAGTAATTTTCAGAATAGTGATATTTAATTCGATTTAAGAGGAAAGAAATAATGAAATTTTGGATTTGATTGCACATTCAATAAAATTTCAAGTTTTTGCATTGATGAAAGTCGAGAATTCCCCTGTTTACTTGGATGTCCAGAGAAAAGAAGAATGTTCACTACTAAATTAAGCCGGCTTGTCCATTAATTGATAATTCAATAAAATAATAAAATAATTTTAATTGTATATTACAATTTTACCTCTCTAGATTTTCCCGTAAAATTTTGAATTCTAAATGAACAAATCCTTTGAAATTCTACTGAAACTATGTGATAAAATTGTCAACAGTGTAAAGTGAAGTTCATCACAAAATATTTGATTCCAAAGTTACAGGATTGCTATTACATCGTCATTCATCATCAAAACTTTTGGAAATATTCCTTTTTCTTTCAGCGTAGAGTAACACATCATATCCCTGGAGAACTTTCAGGGATGACTGTATTTCGTTGCTGCACCATAAAAAAAAATCCGTGAATAACATATATATCTTGAAAACCGACAGTTGAACATGCGGTGGGGCAATGGCCATAAACACCCTCTGAATACTCAGTGAATAAAACTCTCTAAAATCCATTTATCCCAGTATATGACGATAGCCATAAAATATCGGTATAAAGATAGAGCCCGTTAAGGATAACGTAAGAAAAACTTGGTGCGCTGTATGAGACCGTTGCGAAATGTTCGAAAGAACGCAAGATTCTCAACGTGTCGCATCGATCTGGCCACATTCTTCCCATGAAATTGCTTACCAAGAAGAGCAATTCCACAAAGGGAGAAGTATCCACATTTCCGTTATACATTTTCCCGTTTCAGTCCATAAAACATAACTCTCAAACTCATCCACTTTTATCGTTTTAATTGAATTCACCCCGCACTCAATGGAATACCTTAATAGACTTGGGGAGTACTGTACCTGTCCCTGCAGGGGATCGTAAAGCCGCTGAATCAGCTGCAAACAGGTCGATTTACCGCAACCAGAGCCACCTACCAATGCCACAGTTTCACCATGTTTGATCTTCAAATTCAATCCCTGGAGAACTTTGACGTCCTTCCTAGCTGGATAGCGAAAGTGCACATCCTTAAATTCTATGTCCCCATTAACACTTTTCAACTTGAGACCCTCACTGCTGAGGCTATCGATCGTGGGTACACGATCTAAAACTTGAAATACCGCTGCTGCTGAACCACGTGCCACCGCAAATGCCTCAAGATGGGGTGATGTAAGCCCCATGTTTTGTGCACCAGCCAGAACTCCAAAGAAAACAATGACAAGAACTGCTGGTGTATACTCTTTATCCTCTTTGGGCTTGTCCTCGAGAATCAATTGCACTCCATACCAGAATGCGAGGGCATAGCTCATGTAGATGATAAACCACATGACACCACCACCAACACCCGACCACAATCCACGCTTGATTCCCGTACTCTCTGCTGGTTCCAGTTTCTTCGTGTATCTAGCAACTTCAACTTTTTCACCACCAAATGCCACAACTGTTCTTATTGCTCCGAGCACCTCTTCAGCTACACTTCCGGCCTGACCGTAAGCACTCAATTCACGGGCAGTCAGGGAACTCTGAACTTTAGCCACAATTGCAGTGGCAATAACGATAATTGGGGCACAACTCAAAACCACGAGAGTGAGTTTCCAACCGTAGATAAACGATATGATGATGGACGATATGAAGGATACCATGAGGTAAGTGAAAATTCCGAGTTTCTCGGCAATTCCCTCCTTCATTTTGTCTAAATCCCTGAAAGAGAAGAAAATGACTAATACGGGTGGAATTTTTAATTTCAAGTTAAACATTTGGAAATTTTCAATAACGATAAAGTTGCATGAAATTTATGTATATTTCTTTGTTCAGGAATTAGTTAATTTTTTGAATTGTCAAGGGATTCACAATTTGTAGCTCCATGTGACCCTGGAAAATATTGAAAATTGGGAAAATTCAAGGAAGGATTTTTCTGGATTCTCAATCTATTGAAAATTCAGGCTTTTATTGAGATATCAATGATCGCTTAACACAAGAACCCCAATTTTCTTCAATTTTCCGCAGAGACCTTATCTTGTTCAGTATGAAATCGATTTTTGATCAAATTCGGAATACAAACAAGTTTATTAAAATTTCGAAAAAACTATTCTCACGATGGGAAACTGATTTATAAACTATTTACAAAGAAGATGGATAATCTCTAGCGATTGAAAATTTTCCACCATTTCATAAATCTTCATCACTAATTAAACCAAGATTTTTTCAATGTCTCCTAACATTTCAAAATAAGCTTAAATGATGATCTTCAATTTTTAAATGATGAAATCATCGCTAAATACTCTAGGGCCTAAGGTCGAATGGGACTTTAACGGACCCTGGACGCCCTGACTAATAACCACAAATATTGAGAAGAATAAGAAAAATGATCAAAGTACAAAAATAATAAGAATAATCCAAATGAATCAATAGGAGATTAACTAAAATCATAAAAATAATGAAAATTATTCATGAAAAATTCACCAAACAACAAAAGTTCCCAACATTGTTTCCCCAAGTACTTGTTCTCGAGATAACCGTACCCCAAAACAAAAATGTAAATTTTGAATAATTGAGTTTATCACTTCGCTACTGAATTCAATATGCCATTTGGTTATCTCTCGGTTAGTTACCTCAGGATGCATTATTTATCCAAGCGAATTGATAAGATATCTCGACTTACTAAATGAACCAGTTCGATGATAAAGTATTGCCACTACCAAGTTTGACGCTAACTATCTCGCGCAAGAAGGTAAGGGACGTTGAATGGTTTGACGTGGGTATAACTGCATTCTCATTATCATTGTAACAAGTTTCTGCAGTTCGACAGTTGGGACAAGTTTGTTGAACAATGAGTGACATTAGTTCTGGACCATACGAGACTTTAATGTCTTTTAGGGATGGGACTATTAGTATGGCACCCAGACGATTGAAACAACCTATTGATAGTTTAATCGATATCCGATGTTTGCATGTGCTTTTTTGTTATCGGCCAGGGGGGATGACCCGTCATATTAAGGACAGAAGGTGGGGGAAAGAAGAGGACAAGGGGAGCTCAAGGTGGTACATGGGTTTGGAGGTTTCACATTCAACCACCTGTTGCCGGGGGTGCCCTTACACGATTGCATGAACATGTTAACCTTTGACATGGGCTTGGTGCTATCTTCATCCTCAGTTTTTAACCGCAGATGACAATTTCGATACGTCAGACGTAATGTTAGGGGCATTAACTCTTGCTACAGCTTGGAAAATGACTCATTCGTGTCAAATAAAACTCTTTATTTGCAATTTTTTTCATGTCTCAACGGAGACATGAAATAGCGCGAGTGCAAAACACCAACAGTTGATATAATATTCGTGGCCAGATCAAAAACCTCTGAAGAAAATTACTGCATTGGATAAATGCCACGGGCATAGCAATAACAGTCAAGAGACGACGCAGTGGGGTGGTGAGTAACCCCGATGTACCCTTAGAGTATTGAAGCCGATTTCCCAACATAATCACGAGGAACGGAAGAAAATATAGTTCACTTGAGTAGATTTTATACCAGAATCAGGTGGATGCATAAAATTGATTCAAGAATGAAATGCTCTTGATTCAAATATATTATTGTGGAATCAGTGAATATGTGATGTAAAGAAAGAACCTATTTAACTGGTATGAAGGAATGAAAAGGCGCTGCGTCGCCGGGTATTGAGAGTACACTGTTAAAAAAATTTCACTGAAGTTTCCAGGCTCTAGTTTTGAAATATGAAACAAGTGACGGTTTCATTGAAATTCCAGGGAATTTGACCATTAAAAATTCGTGGCTTTCGTGGAAAATTAATGGAAATTAGGAAAATTCAAGCAAAAATGTCCTTGAGTTTTAAATTTTTTGAAATTTCAGAGCAATTTCGTATTGAATTATCATGTTTACATTGAAAATTCATGGGAATTTCGAAATCTTCATGGTTCTTCCACTGAAAAATCAGGAATTTCCTTGAATTTTCAGGGGAACTTGAAGTTTCATCGACTTTTTTCCGTTAAATTGAATTCAGTGTCATTTTCTGTAAAATTCAGTTAAATTTTTTTAACAGTGTACTCTGATAGAATGATTTATTTATTCCAAACGAGATTTGTTAACTATTACCGAATGAACATTTAGTGAGAAGAAATAGACCCTGCACGGAGAGAAATATTCAGTAAAAAATTACAGAACAATTCACGTAATCTGCAATGGGGAAAAGTTTTCGGGCATTTTTTATAGGAATTGAAGAACAGAAATCTGAAACATTCAGTGAATTTTCAGGTTCATCACCGAACAAAGTACGAAATTGTCACGTAATTTTTCCCGAAGAAGTAAAATCTTACAGAAACTTCCCGACTTATTATGCCTTCAAAATCAAAAATTCTTGAACGTTCATTAATTTTTATGAAGCTGGTGAATTACTTCTACGTTTCGTTCCGTAAAATTTCTCAATCGTTGGGAAAAAATTACGGAACAACTTGTCCCCACAGCGGTGAGTCATCAGACGGGTGGTTAATTTTTACGGAACAAATCGTAGAATTTACGTGGCGATTCGTACAATTTCAGGTCCGACTCACACTTTTTATTGAATTTTACTTCGCTCGCGGATTACGTTTCGAAACGTAATTGTTAAGTTTTTTGTTGGTAATTTTTATTGAACTTTTCTCTTCGTCTAGCTTTCAAGCACATCCAGTTGTTCACAATAACTAATCCTGTCTATCAGTGTAAGAATTGATTATGGCCTAAATATTAGAGACAATAAGTTCTTGGGGAAATATTGCGTTGGAAAAAAAAGTTGTTTTAAGGGTGTGTTCCACTGAAGTGTGAAATGAAAAGTATTTATGTTGTGTGACAGTTTTATTACGGTCGTGTTGGGTTTGCGAGAGTTTCTTGCGTAACTGAGGGTTGCCCGTGTGACGAACACTGAGGTAATTCTTTGGAACAAAGGGTGCCTTGGTTAAGAATAAGTGCGAGTGAGAGAATATTTTTGAAATAGAGAAGAAAAAGAGTGTTTGCCCGAATGAGGCAATGAAGAGAGAGTCAGTTCTGTAGAGTATCTTAGCTCCCATAACGAGGTATTTTTTTAATTCGATTTCAACTCAAATATACGTTCATTCATTCCATTAAATAAATATCCTGCGGCCTCATGATTATGATCCTACATTATTCTCTCTTCTTCGAATTGAAAAACCCCTCTCCCAATTGAGTATAAAATATAAAATATTTTATTCTTGAATCAGGATTATGCTTATACTCGATTCTGGTATAAAATATAGTCAACTCAGGTATCTTTTTTTCTGTGAATGTATTCAAGAAAAAAATTGATCTACTTACTCTGTTATCCTGCTGGCAAAGTTGGTTGATGTATTCGTATCGTACCAAGACATATCCTGTCGCAACACAGCTTTCAAGAACATTCTGCGGACTCTGGCAATTTGTCTGAAGGCCGCTACGTTGAGGAAGTCCACTGTAAATATAGCGAAGAAGAATTGCAGTGTTGATAGGGCTGCACATGACACGCCAAATGCTACAGAGTCGTCGTACAAAGCATCCATTCGCTCCTCCTCTGTTGCATTAGGTCCTCTGTAATTCAGTTACATCAGTAATTGCTTTGGGATCGATCACGACGATAATTAGTTATGAAATTTTGAATTGTATAATTCGATCTACATTCGTAGATGGATATCTCTAGGAATCGTTATCACTCATCATTTCCACTGACAATTAAGCATTCTTAATTCATAGTGACGATAATTTGTTGTGGATTTTTGAATTGCATCGTTTTATTTACGTTCACAGATGGATAGCTCTCATAATTTCCGCTGATAATCATTCTTAATTCATTAGTATATTTATGATAATTCCCACGTCAATATTTTTTCCACAATGAGCATCGTATAGATAGAATATCGATTTTCACTGATATAAGTCACTATTCTGAGAGTTGACAAGAATGTGATAAATTTAATACAAGGCCGGTATTTCAGCACTTGCTATAAAACGTGAATGCCCGTCGCTATCCGTTGTCCGTTTCTACCAGACTTTACCCCATAAATAATAAGTGCAGATCTTTTATCAGTGCCATAGAATTTTTTTTGAAAAGTCCAGAAAAAGGAAGTGGGCCACAGAACAGAATAGACTTCTTTTTTCATCGAGTGATAGGTAAAGGATTTTTTAGAATATCACCGATGGATGAAGTCCATAGAAAACGAAACGTACTATTGGCGTGGGATTTTTTTTACATTGATTTATATCTGAATCCTTCTGACCCTCATCACTATTTCGCGAGGTAAAATCATATTTTCAGAAATCAATTAGTTGTTGAAATTCACCAACTCGAACTCGATTTTTCTATCTTATGAGAAAACGCTTCTTACGATGTTCTGAAAGAACTAATCGGTGATAGATTAATAAATTTCGAATACGGTGAATTGTTTTTTAATTTTGTACCACAGTTTCTGTAAACTTCAACTCTAAAAAATGGAAATTTCGTGAAAGCATTCCTTATTTGATTCAAAAAATTAATTGACAAATAATTTCGTATTTCATTCAAACAATTATTGTTGCCTGCACCAACAACACATGAGAACACATGAGAATAGAAAAAATTAATAACTTATGAAAATGCAATAAATTAAATTATTTAAATTTTTTCCGGAAATCCATAGGGACTAACTTTTGGGTCCAATTGTCTTCCCAATATAGAGACATTTAGATTACATATTGGTTGTAATTTTTTTTTAATTTTCAACAAAATTTATGGTCAGAAAAAAAAAACAAAAAAATTAGTTTCTTACAATCGACCATCGCCCAAGAGCTTTGAGTTAATTATTAGGTGTATTTTCTATACATTTATTAATTTTAGAGAAAATGATATTCATTTTAAAGAGAATAATAACGTACAAGACCGCTCCACCGCCAAACCAAGCCATGATGAGAGTAGGTGTGCTCGTTTGGTTCGCCGTATTTCTATCCACCAAGAGTGTAGTGAATTCACCATACTGTATCGTTGATATCGGAATACAGAGGCCTGTCAAGGTCCCCATGAACAGGCCCGCAAGTACGTACATCAACTCACTGAGTGTCGCAAATCGGAACTGTATAACATCGAAAACAGTTTGATTATAGTAATTACAGTGTGACATTTGCTATGGTATTTGCTAATGGCATTTGCTATGATATTCCAAGCTTCCGAACCAATTGATATGTTTGATGTCCATTCGATGAGTATCATGTATCGTGTTACCGCAAAAGGGAACCAATGCGTTATATTAGGGGCAACGTGACACGGGTCTATGAAATGACTGTGATTTATGCTTTGATAATTAAACCCATTTCGTGGGGTTTTCGCGGGCATGAAATATTGACACCATTCGGCAATGGTAATGAAATATTGATATTAAATTCCATTTTTCTCTGAATATCACATGTTGGGTTTTGATTTCAGCTGTTAACAGTTTTTGGCTGAAATTTCCGATAAACTTCACGGAAATTTTCATCAAGTGACAATTTCACCAAAATTTTAAGGAATTTCGTAAATAAAAATTTACTATTTTGTGAAAACCGAATAAAAACGTTGAATTTCAGTTCTATTATTCCACAGGAATTTACAGAAATCAGAGAAAATCAGGTGGAAATATCCTGAAATAATCAATAAATTGGAAATTCTCGATAATTTGGTAGTGAATGTTCATGTTCTAGTTGAAAATTTGAATAAGTTGCGAATTTTATTTAACTCCATTTAATTTCCAGTAAATTTTTAACTTCAATTTTTTTTAAGGGACAGTTCAAGGAATTCAGTTATTGATAACTCACAATTTGATGAAAAAATTTATAGGAACTGCAAATTTCGGTTCAATCATTTCATTCTATGAAAATTAATAAAGATGAAAAACATTTAGGTAAATATATTTTTAAAATTACATTTGAGATTTCAGCGTAAATAGGTACGGAATATTGATTTTCACAACTATTACTAACTTGATATTTCAATTAAAAAAGCAAAGAATTTTCGAAATTCTCGTCGAAATTTTACCCAAAATTGATTTAATCCCTAAAAAAATGAGGTTTCCGAAAGTTAAAAAAATTTACATCATTCATTTATAAACAACGAATATTTAAAAAAGTAATAATTCTGTGCAAAATGTAATTTTACTGAGGCTGAATATTCACGATTGTTCTCAAATTTTTCTCACGCAATTTAATTGATAAATTTGATCATTAAAATGGTTGAATCTATAGTCTGGTCTGTATCAAACTGTAAAAGATACTTGAATATCCTCAGTTGAAAATTCTAAACAGTTGAGGATCCTTGGTTTCTGCTCTTAGAAAAATTAAAAATTCCATTAAATTTCCGGTGAAACTGTAAACGTCATGACGTTCTCCCCCTAAGTCGAACTCACTATCCCCCTCGTGAAAATTCCCCCTCAACTTCCCATGGAATTTCAATTTTTTCCGCAAACCTGCCGGTAGAGTCATAAATCATCGTCACAATTAACTTATTTTTGAAAACTCACGAGTTTGTAATAAGGCACGGGTGGAAGAGATGGTGTCGGTGCTGGTTTTTCCTCCTCCTTTGTTTGCGGTGGGACAAACTCACTGTGGACAAAGAATAAATAACAATTAGTAGAGGCCTTGCATCTTCTCCCATACATCAAATAAAATGTCACTGATCACGCTTTTTTCAAATTATTATCGACAATCATATTCAAGTCGTTCTCTAAACGCCATTCCCCTCTTCTATCCATTATTTCCTCGTCATAATCGTTCATGCTAAATATATCTGATTGTTCTGTACTGTGTGTAATAATACTGTCAATCATTTCGTACATGGGTTCTTCATTATCCTTTAGCATGTAATCAGCTTCCCATTCAGCCTTCTCCTTGTCTTGCTGTGTGTCTGTAAATGAAATTACATTTGGTACCTTACGAACGTCACTCGCCAACAATAGTCATTATATCGTTTATGTCCTATTAAACGGATATTTAGTTATATTGTGCAATGGTTTCTGAGATAACTGGCTGTCTGACATCATCCAACCTCTGATAAGAATTCCGTATTCCCCCCTGGGTTGTAGATAGGTAATGGAGGGGAGGGTTTCTGAAGGGTCTATTTCAATTTGTTTAATGTAAAAGGAGGAGATGAATACAAAACTTTTTTAATTTTCTTAATTTATTCATGATTTAATGCAGATAAGGCAATGAATATTTTTTTATTTATGAACCTGGGTGAAAAGAAGAAAACGTTTTTCTGTACTGTTACTCACGATTCCTCGTCTGGGAATTGGTATTGTTTATTTCCCAAACTAGGAAACTTGAAAATCACTACAAAAAAATCTTGTCCCGGGCTGTTGCGATGGGGTTTTTTGTATTCGTGTGGCATTGGCGTCCGAGCCGAGGGCGAATCCCCCTCGCAATAGCCCGGAGAAATACTATTTACGCCTCGGCGGGCGTAAAGTTAAATTTTCCTCCCGCGAAGGGAGACAAAAATGCGGTTCTAACCACAGGAGATCCTATTCTAAAAAGAACATACGCCGTAAGCTGTAGCGTAACGCTCATTCCTCGAATTTCATTGGTCGAACATTCGGATCCGCCCGCACGTGTTCGACTTCGGTCGGCTTTCGGTTTTCGTGTCACGATTTGTCTTTAAACACGCGCGCTCAAGCGCGCGATCGGCCTCGTGAAATAAAGTAGTCTTACTCACGTGCGGAATTATCACCCGAGCCGGAGGCGAAGGCTTACCCTCGTACTTACCACGAAGGCGAGGGTGGTAAGCAGGGACTCGAGGGTAAGTTCGCAGGTCTGAATTTGAATCTCAATATTGGACCAATAGAAAACATTTAAAAAATCGGAAAAAAATGAAATTTTACTTTTGGAGGATTGGTGACATAATTCGGTAGTGAAGTGGTAAATGGAGATAAATGGATTTATCTTCCAGTTGAGTTTTTGGGAAATATTTCCGAATCTAAGGGAGATAGCGAAATTTTCGTAAATACATTTGTTGTAGCACTCAATCGGCTCCACAAAAAAGGTTATTACAAAAATTTTGCTATCTCCCTTAGATTTTGAGATATTGCTTGAGAACTGGTCAATAGTCAAAATTGACTTATCTGCGTTTACCACTTCGTTACTGAATTAAAAAATTACCACCCTCGCCTTCGTGGTAAGCACGAAGGTAAGCCCTCGCCTTCGGCTCGGGTAATAATTCCGCACGTGAGCACGACTCGTTTATTTTATCTCGCTAGGTTAGGAATATACTATTTTCATGAAATTCAACAACTAGTTGGTAATTCATTTTTTGCAACAGTTCGTACTTTGTTCCCTGGCGAGCGGCAGGAAAGTGCAGGAAAAAAATTTAAAATTGTTTTTTTACTGTGGGAACATATTATAGTAATTCTTAATATGAGAAATAGAATGCAGAATCCGCCACACTCGAGAATTTACTATTTAAGGATATCCAAGTGCTTTGACTATTTTTTCATCAGTGAAATGCTATTCGAACTTCAAAGCTTTCATTTGAGCTTCATTTGACCCTAAGTTTCCGAACATTTTACAAAGATTTTATCATTTAAACATCGCAGGTTTGAATTTGAATCTCAATATTGAACCGATAGGAAACATTTTAAAAATCTGAAAAAAATAGAAATTTTACTTTTGGAGGATTGATGACATAATAAAAAAAATGCAATCTGCAAAAATTATGAGCATTATCTATCAATAATTTATAAACAATTAATTTTCCACCCGAATAGTATTTTTCGTCACTGTGGCGAAGAAAATTTTTCTGGCGAATATGTGGTTATAGGACGAGTCGAAGGCGAGTTCTGCATGCATATTCCTGGATTACTGTATTCACGTCGTCATTTTTCATTTTATATTCTCTCCGTGTGATCATTTCAAAAAATCGAAATTCATTTTTTCGTATTGTAAGCAGCGAAAAACGAAACAACAACTGGAAATTTTCCACAAGAATTCGCAAAGAAAAACTAAAATTTCCTCTGAATTTTGTCATACATGACCTAAAGCAGAGTTGAACAGTTCTGCTTTAAATGTCGTCGAGCAGTTTGAAATACGTAAATTCAGTCTTTTCGACGGGGGATTAAAAGAACAACAGGACAGAAATGTGAGTGTCAAGAGGATTGGTGGAACGAACTCAGACTTTGTAAGCTGGCTAACTTCCACTTGTTCCCTGGACCCTTGACATCCCTCCATCGCCTCTCTTGCACTCGTTCTTCCCCGAGACCCTCGTACAAAACTCCGTGGAACACACTCTGACGATTCCCCAGACGAGAAAAGGGAATGATCCATTAACCAGAATAATTGCTGTTTCGAAACTTTGCCCCCCGACAAATCTACGATAGACGGACAATCTCGAGATGGAGAGGACAGAGGTGATGGTATTATAGATATTTTTCCAGGTTTCCCGTTAAATTCCGAATGTCAGAACTGTATCATCTTCATTAAAGAGAAAAGAAGTTTCTAGGTTTCAGAAGAAAGTCGCTGATTTTACGGAACTTACGGGTCTAAAGGGAATTGTTCCTACACTAATAAACTGTTTATTGAATTAAAGTGAAAAACTTTTTAATTGAGTAACAAAATCTGAATCATTTTAAATGATGAGAAATGGTCTTGAGATGAAAAAATTTGCGTTCGGGTTTGCTATTCATTTTCAGAGAAAAATGGAAAGGAAATGAACAGTTCTGTTTGATTTTTCCACGAGATTCTGAATTTTCAATGACAAGATTTCTTGAAATTTCCGTGGGATTGGAACACGATAAAAATTTCCAATATTTGACACGGAAAATTCAGACAAAAATTTTCAACAGTGCATTTAGGTATAAAATATACTTGAATCAAGTCTATTTTTTTCCGTGAAAGATCTTTTTGTCTCATTTTAAATAAACGACTCATTATAAGTGAAAACTACGTATTTCCGTACAAGGAGAAAAAAGTTTTTCATTAACAATTGGGGAAAGATTTCTAAAAATCAATCATCAGTTATGTTCCTGGAAAGCACGGACATGTTCCCGAAAATCAAAAAATGAATTTTCTCTGTGCATCCAGTGTATTCCTCGTTAGATTCTACTACCTCTTCTTCTCCGCAACTAGCCTAGTAATTTTCAAGCCTACAAATAACATTTCAATTGTCCATAACCAATTGATGATACTTACACCTCGAGAGGATTTTTCCTCGGTGATTGGAGTTTATTCTCGGGGGCTCCATTTGGATACCCTGAGGTACGGCCTCGCGAGGGCTCGTTGACCACTGATAAATCCGCTGCGTCATCGCGCATTCTCAGTTAACAACTCTGAAAGAAAAATAGAACCAATTAATTCGAGTCAATAATTAATGAAACATCTGAGGGTGAAAAATATTGTCAATCGTGAGCAATCCGCAGTGGTCAAGGAATTTCAATTCAAAGAACTAGTTTCATTGTCGGTCACGTTTTCCTGGCTACAGACGCCATGAAAGGAGAGAGTTTGCTATTGCGATGAAAGCTCCTCAAACAAGACTTCGTTAAGCCAGTGGAAGGTAAAGACAGGGTGCAAGCCTTCAATTTTTTCCCCTCTTTTTTGATAACCACTGATGGCACAGTTGGTATCGGGCTTCAGATATTTTTACTTCCGAATGGAAGAATAAACGTAGAAATGTATTTGACTGGAGAAAAAATAGTCAAAGAACTTTGATATCCTTAAACTCGGACTGAAAACAAATTGAAGTTTCGACAGAACGAAATAATACGCAAAATTTTGACGACATTTTAATTATTATAGTACTATGACATGAAAAAATGGAAGAAAAAAATACTGCAATAAGAATTACAAAGAAGAAAACCCATTCGGCAACAGATTGCTAATTTATTATCAACAATTACTACACTCATTTACAAAAAAACGCCGTTGTCCCCTTGTTGTTTTTTTCTCATCGCAAAAACATACCAGTGAACTCGATCCAACGGATCCTCAGTGAGGATTCCATACAAGAAAGTAACAATGGCGCGAGTTTCTAGAACTGTCGTTCAATTTTCCAACGTACAAGGGTGCTCTAAACTGCCAGTGGTATACTAACCCTTACGTACTTTTGCAACTCTCAAAACTCCATCAGAAACTGTTAAAACAAACTTTAACCGGACATTATCCATGCCACACGCTAATCCTGGGTGGTGTACCCAAGTAACACAGGGTTATATTCGGAAAAGAAGAATGCCCAGTTGCCGTAGGCGGACATCATGTGGTTTTCACACCACGTTTCACAATCTCACAGGTACATGGGCTTCGATGAATCCGCCGAATCGGCATGATTCATACCCGCTGGTCACCCCACGATTTTTCTATTCAATCGAGAGTTGGAGAGGTTTTTTTAGATTAAAATTCAATTCATTCGGCTTTTTTTCCTTCACAATCTTCGACACTTCGTCATTAAATATGAAACTTCATTTGTTAAAAGTTTTGGAGTAATAGAGAGGAGTCGACACGTAACTGTGCAGAGTCACGAATCCCCTGAGCAATCTGCACTCTCATTACATAACAATTTTTCCCTAAATTCAACGTATATGAGATAAAATCACACGGGGAGATTATTTTTAGTGGAATTCTGGGTCACATACGCAACGGCCAACGTCCAACGCTCCACAATTCGACGAGAATGTTTGTCGATAAGGTGGAAGTTTCCGAAAATTTCAGGAAAGTATTTAAGAGAAAAAAAACGATGAAACTGTACGGAGAGAAAAGTCGGGGAAAATTACCTAGAAGGTCGTGGCGAATTTTATTGTGCGATAAGTAATCGTGGAGCGAAATGTAATTCAATGAAGAAATACCTGGTAAATTTTACAATTTCGGGACAAGTTACCCTCGCGTTCAGTAAATTTTCCTGGGCCAACGGAGGAAAAGTCACTATTCGTCGCGCGCTTTTTCCCCGATATAGGACTTTATTCTCCTATTTCGATGTAACCGTTGGCTGGCGGATTGGCGAATAAAAACCTTGTTAAGAAAAAAAGCTGGCGGAGGGCACGGAGAGAAAAGTTGGATAAAAATTACACAGAAAATCGCGGCAAATTTAACTGTATGGAAGGCAGTGGTGGAGCGAAATGTGTTATCCTGTTCAATGAAAAAATACCTGTTTGTGGAGAATATTTTACGATTCGTTCGGTAAAAAAAACACATCTATGGATGCAAAAATTATCCCTCTGTACAGTAATGTTTCTTACACCCGCAGGGTATTTTTTATTTACACCCATCTGAAGGTCATGGGGCCGAATGGGAATGAAATTCTACCGACTGCGGTCGGTAAAAAATCATTCACCGTTACAGAAAAATTAATATATTATCATAATATTGAGCAATTATTCACGTTCACTGGAATAATTTTTGATTGAATGCAGAATAAATTTGATTCTCAGAAATTATCTTCATGTTCAGTAAATTTTCCCGGCCCAGCGGAAAAAAATTCACTATTTGTGAATTCACTTTTTCCTGAATATTAGAGCCTTATTCTCCTATTTCGATGTACCCGTTGGCTGGCGGATTGGTGAATAAAAACCTTGTTAATCAAGAAAAAAACAGGCAGAGGGCACGGAGAGAGAAGTTGGATAAAAATTACCTAGGAAATCGCGGGAAATTTTACTGTACGGACGGCAGGGGTGGAGCGAAATGTAGTGCTATGTCATGATTTCGCAGTAAATATTTGAAAATATTTAATCAAAGAAATACTGAAAAATTATGAGTAATATTTTCTCCTATTTTTAGCCTACCTTCCGGAAATCGCTAGGGATCGGAGTCGGGTGAATTGTTGAAATAATAAAAAAAAAATATTATTTAATAAAACCAAAATTTATTTAAATTGATTAAATCAAAATTCGATCAAATTAAGAAGTTTTGTCATCAAACGAACATAAAATCAATCAATTTTCCGTGAAATACAAATCAAATTAAAACATTTAATTTTTGTTTCCACATTCAGCGCAAGAATCATTTCATTTTATAATAAAATCAAATTTCCCAATGATAAAAAAAAATTAATAATAAAATTTAAGCAACTCATCGTGATTCTCCGTAGTTTTCCTCGACGTTGTCCAATTCCGTGGTTCCACAGTTATTATCCAACAAGTCTAAGTACCAATTTGATTTTTCTCACATTTCACGAATTTCAAGAAATATTCCACAAATTACTAGTGCATAATCAAAATAATTCTATTTCACTAATTATTAAATTTTTTCTCTTTTTTTTTATCCACATAATCCAAATTATTGAGTAGACTTTATTTGAAAAATAACTATAAAATGGCGGAACTGGAGACGCGAAGAAAACCGCGGAGGACTACCGGAACTATTCTATCGGGAACTCGCGAGGAACTGTCGGAACCAAAGGAACTGTCCCAACTAACTTTGCGGGTGCATCGATGCGTTTGTCAAACGTCCTGATTTTAATCTTAATTCGTGTGTGTATATTAATTTTTTATGTTTTTGTCAAAGGAGGGGGCATCACATGATGTCAATGCAGCAGGTACGCCTCGGTACGAACACCAGGCATTACCACCTAACGATCACGTCATCGTTATGTAAAATGATTTAACTTCTTTTTCTTTAATTTTCTAGTTAATTTCAAACTCAATAGTTTTCTCATAATTTTTTTCTTTTATTATAAATTTTTCCCTATTTTCCCACTATTATTCCATTTTCCTACGAGGCCTATTTCTTGACTATCATTCGAGTGATGTCACTCAACCTGACCACCCAAGTAAAGGTGACTTGAATTCGCGTTTACAAAGAAAAAATTATCATTGTCTTTCTCAAATTCCCTTCTTATATTCCGTATGAGTAATATCGATCGAAATTTATCCCCGTTTCAAATACGGAATTTCGGTCGATTTTACTCACTGTTCTATTACTTTTCTTTTTTTTACTTAAATTCTTTATTTACCATTATTTTCTATTTTAAATATTTAAATTCCATTATTTATTATGCAAAACACGATACGTCTCCTGACGTAACAGTAGTTCAATGAAAAAATACCTGTTTGTGGAGGATATTTTACGATTCGTTCGGTAATAAAAACACATCTATGGATGCAAAAATTATCCCGCTGTACAGTAAAATTTCTTACACCCGCAGGGTATTTTTTATTTACACCCATCTGAAGGTCATGGGGCCGAATAGGAATGAAATTTTACCGATTGCATTCGGTGGAACATCATTCTCCGTTACAGAAAAATTAACGTAATATTGAGCAATTATTCACGTTCACTGGAATACGTTTTGATAGAATGCAGAGTAAATTTGATAATTTCGGCACAAATTACCCTCATGTTCAGTAAATTCGTCGCGAGCTCTTTCCCCGATATAGGATTTTATTCTCCTATTTCGATGTAGCCGTTGGCTGACGGATTGACGAATAAAAATCTTGTTAAACAAGAAAAAAAGCTGGCGGAGTATATACGGAGAGAAAAGTTGGATAAAAATTACCTAGAAAATCGCGGCAAATTTTACTGTACGGAAGGCAGTAGTGGAGCGAAATGTAGTTCAATGAAAGAATACCTGTTTGTGGAGCATATTTTACGATGCGTTCGGTAAAAAAACACATCTATGGGTGCAAAAATTATTCCCCTGCACAGTAAAATTTCTCACACCGGTAGGGTATGTTTCCTTATGCCCATCTCAAGGGCGGGATATAAACAGGAATATAAATCCAAAACGGAAATTTAAACTATCCCAAAGTGTCCATTCGAGAGCAAAATGCAACGTGAAACCCCAAACGAGGAAATTTTAGTTCACCAACATCACCTCGGGTATTGTCCCTCTCTCTCTGTGATGCTGAATATTTTTCCCAATTACCCACCAGTCGATCTTTCTCCATACGAAATACCGTAATTATGTGGCCAACAATGCTCACTCACCCGTTTTGTGCTTTTGATGCACTTTATGGGATTCATTATCTACATAGATGCAAAATTTCCCATCAGCTGATTATGAATGCTACCGCTTCATTTACATAAATGAAGGTGGTTATTTATTATCAACTTTATTGATTATGAATACTATCACTTGATTTACATTAATAAATCTGACGATTTACGAATACTCACTAGATTTGAGATTATACGCGGAGATAAAAGTTGGAGAAAAATTACCGAACACAGCAAAAACGAATCTCTGAATTTTACACACCTTTTGTAGACATTTTTCAGATACTAAAAAACACCCGGAGAGAACTTTTCTAGAAAAATTCTAGTACGAGTACTGAAAAAAATTGCAATCCACTGGCTGTGAAAAATTCTAGTGCTGTTAAGGTAAAATTTCTTGGTATTTCTG